AGATAAGCACCCCGAAGCAGAAAAACACCCTGAACCGACGGAAACGCTCGGAGCCTCGAGTCTCCGCACCCACCACCAAGCACGGCCGCCCAGAGTTGAACATCGTTTGACAAATCCCATCCCCACTGGTTTGGCCCTGGCCCCACTGGCCGACTTGCCCGCCAGGGTGAAGAGATGCCTGCTTCCTTGGGCCTCGCGGAGCCAATCCCCACCTAGGAGGGCGGGCTGACGAGCATGAGATACCAAGACCCAGCGGGGATGGGGACAGGTTGAACGATGCTGCCCCTGAACAGGCGGGGTGGCGCGAGGGTGGCGTCTTTCCAGGGCCCATTTCGATCCGATCGATCCGATTCGATGTCGATGTCGATTCCGCCCAGCCCGATCCGCTCCGATCCCGATGTGCCGGCGGTCCGGTGCGGCCCGGTGCTTTTGCATGGCGATGCTGCGCACCCTGGCACAGCCGATCCCCGCCCGCCTCCTCTGAAGACCGCCCTCAGCCCGCTCCGGGGGCCCACTGAGTGCACCGCCACCCCCCGGTGGCGTCGGCCGCCCATCGGGCACAGCACCGCGCCACCGCCCCTTCGCGGGGGCGCGGTGCGGCCGCGCGCTTCGCGCGGGGGGGCCGTCCAGCGCCCCGCCCCCAGGGCTTGCGCGGGGGAGGAGGCGGGGCACTTCGCCCCGCTTCGGAGGGCCCCCGGGGGGAACCGGGAAGGCAGAGAGGGAGGGTCTTTCTCGGAGAGTCATGAAGCTGCGAGAATGAGAAAGGGAGAAGGAGGAGGAAGAGGAGGAAGAGGAGGAGGAGGAGGACAGGGCGGAGGAGAAGGCGGAGAAGAAGGCGGAGGAGGGAAGAGAGGGATGTCACAGGTCTGGCGCAGCCGCGCGGGCGCCGCCTTATGGCGCAGCGCCCGACGAGGGGGAGGAGTGGGAGGAGTGGGGGAAGAGGAGGAGGAGGAGAAGGAAGAGGAGGAGGAGGAGGAGGAGGAAAGGAAGAGGAGGAAGAGGAGGAGGAGGAGGAGGTGAAGGAGGAGTGGTAGGAAGAGTAGGAAGAGGAGGAGAAGGGAAGGAGGAGGCGGAGGGGGAGGAGGAGGGGCAGGAGGAGGAGGAGGAGGAGGGGGGGAGGAGCAGGAGAAGGAGAACGAGGAGGAGGGAGAGGAGTGGGAGGAGGAGGGAAAAGAGGAGGAAGAGGAGGAAGCGGAGGAAGCGGGAGGAGGGGGGTGAGGAGGAGGAGGAGGAGGACGAGGAGGCGGAGGCGGAGGCGGAGGAGGAGGAGGAGAAGGAGGAGGAGGAGGACGACGACGACGAATAGGAGCAGGAGGAGGAGGAGAGGAGGAGGAGGAGGACGAGAAGGGGGATTTGAGAGTTAGGGCGCCGCAGAACGTGAGGTTTTGAGTGGCTGAGACGGGCTGAGGATGCCCTGTTTCCCTTCTTCCTTCTCCTCTGTCCCTCTTCCCCTGTCCGCCGCCCATAAGGGCTAACGTTTTTCTGCAGGCCTTGGAAGCCCCAGGCGCACGGCGGCCCCCTGGGGGCGGCTCGCACGGAGCTGCACAGCGCGGCGCACGATTGGCTCGGTGCGGTGGATCCGCGGTTTTCCCCTCACATCTCGCTGCGACTCCTCCTCAGGCGGAACGATGCCGAGAGGCCTCCGACGTTGGCCTGGCCTCTCAGGCCGCCTCCAACCCTCATCCTCTTCTCCTCTAAGAACAGACGGCGACGCAGACAGCGGGCAGGCTCTTTGACGTTCTGCGCGGCATCTGCCAAAAATGATGCCATTATCGTCGCTGTCGCATCGTTGATATTAGTCACCGCTTTGCGGTTGTTTCCGCGCGTCCCCAGCTCGCCAAAAAAGTGAGAGCTCGGACGCAGCAGATAGTAAGGAATTTTAGTGGCTGGGACGGGCTGGGGGGGCCTGCTTCCCCTCTGCGAGGCGGAGATTTATCCAGATCCACCGCCTGGGATACGACGTCCTGGTGCCCCAGCGGGATACGCGACCCCAGCTCACTTCCAACGAGGATGAGCGCGAGGAGGAGGAGGAGGAGGAGGGCGAGCGGGGTGAAGATCTGAATCTGAATCTCTCCGCGCGGGGACCTGCAGCTGGGCTGGCCGTTACACGGCAGATCAGCCCAGGTCCGGAAAATAGGTGCCCGACTTGGGGTGAGGGGCCTCTGCAGAGCCTAGACAGTACTTACATCACCGCTTTCGAGGGTGGGTTGCACTTCCCCTTCAAAGTGCAAAATCGCACAGCAGTATCCACAAGTCGTACAAGACAAAACGCCCCGCAGCACTGCGAGGTGATGAGAAAAATGGCACTGCTCCGCCCAAAGGTGGTCCAAAGCACCACGGCACTCAGCGGGCACCAAGTGACCCGGAGGGGGCTCGGGGTCACCATTCTTCCAAACAGGTCGGTGCGGGAGCAGATGGTCTCGCTGCTGCAGGGTGCACCGAGGCTTGCAGAAGTCAAGCCGTTTGATTGGAAAATCTCCGCGCGAACAGAACAGTGCAACACAGACTTGCTCTTGGCAGGCGCATGGCCAGCGTCACGGAGGCGACAGATTCTGTCCGCGAAGCTGGTACTCTGATTCTTGATTATGCGGGGAACCCTCTCTCCCCGCACTCGTTCCCTCGAGAACAAAACCTTTCGCTGACTGGCTTAAAGACGATAGATACATCACGTCCGTGGCCAACCGATCTGCATCCGCCGTCACAGCCGCGTCTTCATCAGAAGCCTGCACTCTAGCAGCGGCGGCGTTAGCAAAATGATCGGCAGCACGGTTGAGATCGAGATCCAGTTCTACATCGGGAAGCAACGTGGTTCGGCTTTCGGTCTGGTCTGGGTGCCCCGTGGTCAAGAGGACATTGATTGAGCCGCCCTGGACCTTCAAGGTCCGATAGTACTCAGCCCACGAATCATGCATTTCGCGTCTGTTCTTGGCCTTCAGAGGCCGTCTGGCAACCTTAACAGTCACAAGACAGCCACAGCACACTCGGCGACCTTCTGTGGTGTTCTTAGGATGAAAGCATACAGCTCTGCCCTCGGCGTAGTCTGCTTGGTCGGGAGGGAGCCGCTCAACACGGCATCGAACAGCCCAGTAGGACCTGAGTGGACGATGGACCACACACAACGTCGAAGGCTCCAGTCCTGAGTATGCCTCCCCCCCCTGATCCGTCGATACCCTAAGTGCCCCCGTCAGTGATCCTCCCGCCTTCCAGCCGCCCCCACTCCCGAACACGAGACTGAGGCTCAGGGAATTGGCTGCACGAGACAGCCTCAGGCGGAAGGCCACGGAACCAGTGGCAGGAACGCTCGGGTTCAGCAGCGACACGCTCGGCCAGGCGATCGGTTCGCTCCACGACCCGATCTGGCACGTGCCGATTGCACTCACAGCGATAGATCGATGTTATGGGGAATCATCTGACCTTCCACGCCTAACAAACTTGTCATTGGTCAGCGGTAGATGCCCTGCGGCCGCCAGACGGTGCTCAGTCCCTCAGTCTGTAATAAGGATGCTGAGAAGAATCCTAGCAACCTCCAACTCCCCATCCTTGCTCAACGTTTTGAGCACCCGATTCACCGCCGTGACATCCACTCCACCCTCCAGTCCTCTACCCATGTAATACAGATCAGCCTGCCATCAAGACAAAGCAGAGCAGGTCACGATCATCTATTCCCCAAAGGACCAAAGGGAAATGATCATCAGTGATGCACAGGGTAGCATATTGAGCTCTCCATCGCACAGGTGAGATGGGCTCCCAGGACAAGTCGAGCAGGACGACAATCGTAGCAGCAACGGGCCCCCGAGCAACCTGCAAGCGATACCATCGAATAGAGTGGGAGGCGGAGGAGGAGAAGGAGGAGGAGGAGGAGGACGAGGACGAGGACGAGGACGAGCAGGAGGAGGAGGAGGAGGAGGCGGAGGAGGAGGAGGAGGGAGGAGGAGGAGGGAAAGGAGGGAAAGGGGAGGAGGAGGAGGAGGGGAGGTAGGGGAGGGCAAGACAGGAGGAGGGGGAGGATGAGGATCGGCTGAGGATAACGAGGAGGGAGGAGGAGGGGAGGAGGTGGAGGAGGAGGAGGAGGAGGAGGAGGAGGAGGAGGAGGATCAAGGAGGAGGAGTGAGGAGGAGGAGGAGGATCGAGGGAGGAGGGATCGGAGGAGGAGGAGGAAGAGGGTGGACGATCGAGGACGATCGAGGAGGAACGAGGGAGGCGGGGGGAGGAGGGGGAGGAGGAGGAGGAGGAGGAGGAGGAGGAGGAGGAGGAGGAGGAGGGAGAGGAGGAGGAGGAAGAGGTTCGAGGAAGGAGGAGGAGGAGGAGGAGCACGAGGACGAGGACGAGCAGAAGGAGAGGAGGAGGAGGCGAGGAGGATGGCGGAAGAGGAGCGGAAGGAGGAGAAGGGGAGGAGGTGGACGAGGACGAGGACGGGCAGGAGAGGAGGAGGTGGAGGAGGAAGAACAGAAGAAGGAGGGAAAGGAGGAGGGGGACGATTGAGGGGGAAAGAGGAGGAGGAGGAAGAGGATCGGCTGAGGAGGATCGAGGGGAGGAGGAGGAGGGGGAAGAAACAGAAGGGGAGAAGGCAGAGGGAGGATGGGGATCGGGGAGGAAGAGGGAGGAGGAGGATGGCGAGCAGGGATCGATGGGAGAGAGCGGAGGACGATCGAGGGGTCGAGGAGGTAGGATCGAGGAGGAGGAGGAGGATCCGAGGAGGAGGAGGTGGAGGCACAGGAAAAGGAGGATGATCGAGGAGGGAAGAGGAGAGGAGGAGGAGGAGGATCGAGGTCGATCGAGGAGGATCGAGGAGGAGGCGGAGGAGGAGGTGGAGGAGGAGGTTTGAGGAGGAGGAGCGAGGAGGAGGGAGGAGGAGGAGAGGAGGAGGAGGATCGAGGAGGAGGAGCCCAACCCCCTCTGCCTTCCGCCCCCTCGAAGGGGGCCCCCCTGCCGCCGCGGGAGCGCGAACCGCGCCGCGCAGGGCGGGCCTCTGCGCGGAGCCTCCGCCGCGCGGGCTCCGCTCAGGCCGCCGCCGCGGAGGCCTCCTCCGCGGGCGCCGCCTCCCCGGCAGCGGGCACCTCGGCGGGCGGCTCCTCGGCCGGCGGCGGCGGGGGCTCCAGCTCCTGGGGCGTCGCGGGGCAAGCATCGAGGGTCGAGGGTCGAGGGTCGAGGAACGAGGGTCGGGGAACGAGGAGGAGGATCGAGGATCGAGGGTTGAGGATCGAGAAGGAGGAGGAGGATCGAGGATCGAGGATCGAGGATCGAGGAGGAGGAGGAGGAGGAGGAGGACGAGGAGGAGGAGGAGGAGGAGGAGGAGGAGGAGGAGGGGAGGAGGAGGTGGAGGAGGAGGAGGAGGAGGAGGAGGAGGAGGAGGAGGAGGAGGAGGAGGAGGAGGAGGAGGGGGAGGGGGAGGAGGGGGAGGAGTAGGGAGGAGAGAAAGAGAAAGAGAGAGAGAGAATAAACAAAAAAAGACGGAAAGAGAGAGAGAGAGAGAGAGGAGAGTCCAGAGAGGGGAAGAGGCGGGCGCCCAGAGAGAGGATGAGAGAGAGGGGTCCAGTCCAGGGTTTGCCCGACGCCAAGAAATGGTGAGACAGAGGGGGTCCAGTCCAGGGGGTGCCGGACGCCGCCAAGAAAGGGGGGGAGACAGAGAGAGGGAGTCCAGTCCAAGGGCTGCCCATCCAAGGGATATCTGCCAGTCCCCGAGACGGGCTCCTTCCTGGCCCCAGGGCCCCCGACAGCTTGGAAGCGGCCACGGGGTCTGAACTACATGGGCCCCGAGAAAATCTGTCAAGAGGTCAAGAGGGGGGGGTAAGGGCAAATCCGCTCAAATCGGTGGCCCGACCCCTTCTGGTGCAGCGTTTCACCCTGGTTCCGTTCTTGACGGTCCGGAAACCAGAAAACAGCACCCAGAGACAGAAACAGGCGAAAACGTGATCGAGCCCAGAACCTCGAACATTGCTCCCCCATTCCAGCTCGCCAGAACCAGTGCCAGGCCACCTCAGACCCAGCGGGCTCCAACCGCCAGGACACCCTCTAACAAAAATCTTCATCCGAGTCGGCCTCGGCGTTCTCTCGGGCCTTACACAAGACCGAGCGCCTTGGCTCTCTCCTCAGTAGGAGGAGGAGGAGGAGGAGGAGGAGGAGGAGGAGGAGGAGGAGGAGGAGGGACAAGGAGGAGGAGGAGGAGGACGGAAGCAAGAGGAGGAGGACCCAAGACTCCGATGCCTACAGCCCGGATCCGAAGAGGAGGAGGAGGAGGAGGAGGAGTGGGCCTCGGTTTTCTCTCGGACCTTGCGATTCGGCCCGGCTCCGAGGAGGAGGAGAGTGATTTCTTCGGGTCCAAAAGGACGAGGGACGAGGGATGATTTAGGGAGATCAGGAGAGGAAACAAAAACGCACAAACAGAGACTTTCGGAGCGGCGGGTCTCTTTGGATCGGCGCTGGACCCCCTTCCCCCGCACGCGAAGCACGCCGGAGGCGGGGTGCCGGAAGCGCCGCCAGGGCGGCCCCGGGCCGACCCGAGAGAGCCGCGCGCAGCTCGGAAGGTTTACGCGTGTGCATTTTTTCTTCCTCGAGGAAGGAAGGGAGCGAATCCTCGCCATCCTCCTCGCCACTCCTCCTCGCCACTCCTCCTCGCTCTTCATCTTCATCGAGGAACGAGGGAGGAAAGAACGGAGCGAGGGGAGGCATGAGGAGAACAGTTAGGGTCCTTAAGCGTCTCGAAGGCACCCAGTACGGCGGTGAACTCGTCGCACTGCACCACAGCCGCGTCGTACTTGTCCTCCCCCGCACTGCCGTCGTCTTCGCTCCTCCTCCTCCTCCTCCTCCTCCTCCTCCTCCTCCTCCTCCTCCTTCGTCCTCCTCCTCCTCCTCCTCCTCCTCCTCCTCTTCCGCCTCTCCTCCTCCTGCTCCTCCTCCTCCGCCTCCGCCTCCGCCTCCTCCGCCTCCTCCTCCTCCTCTCCTCCTCTTCCTTCCTTCTCTCCTCTTCTCCTCCTCCTCTACATGCTCCCCCTCCTCCTCCTCCTACTTCGCCCGCCGCCGCTCCGTCTCCGCCTCCGCCTCCTCGTCTCTCCGCCTCCTCCGCCTCCTCCGCTTACTCCGCCTCTTCGCCTCACCGCTCTTCCGCAGCTTCCGGGCTCTCTTCCTCCTCCTCCCTCCGCCCTCCTCCTTTCCTCCTCCTCATCTTTTCTATCATTTCTTCAACCTCCTCCTGCATCTCATCCAAATTTCCTTCCTCTCATCTATCATACCTTCATCATTCAACTCTCATACATCATCTCCTATCATCACATCATCCTCATCATTCATCATCATTTCATTCAATTTCATCCTCATCATATCATCTCATCATCATCATCATCCTCATCATTCATCAATTATCATCATCATCATCATCATATATCATTCATCATTCACATCATTTCAGTTCCTCATCATCATCAGCATCAGCATCAGCATCATCATCAACTTCATCATCATCATCATCATCATCATCATCATCATCATCATCATCATCATCATCATCATCATCATCATCATCATCTTCCTCTTATTTCCCCCTCCTTCTCCTCCTCTTCTTTTGCTTCATAGCATTCATGATTTTGTCACTAGCACTAGTCGTATTACTATGATTGCTCGTTGTATTATTACTCGTATTATCATTATTATGATTAGTATTATTATTGTGACTATTATTATAATTAGTAATACTATTATTAGTAGTAGTAGTAGCAGTATCATCATTAATATTATTATTAGTGGTAGTAGTATTACTTTTGTTATTACGATTGTTGTACCATTATTATCATTAATATTATTATTAGTAGTATAAGTATTAGCATTTGTGTTAGCATTCGTATTCGTATTATGATCATTATTACTGATATTACGAGTATTAGCATAATTCGTATTATTAGTACTAGCGTTAGTATTGGTATGACCATTCTTCTATTAGTGTTACTATCATTACTAGTATTACTAATATTAGTATTATTCACATGGTGATTATTGACACTGGTATTACCATTATTAGTCGTAGTGTGTTTCAAAGTAGTCATATGCTTGTCCTTCGCTTCTTCGTCGTAATGTTGTGTTTCGTCGTCTGAATATGTTTCATATTCTTTTTCTTAATATTAGTCGTCTTGGCATCACTACTAATACCCGTGATAGTCTTCAAACACGACTTCCTAGTACTAATGCAACTAGTAGTAACGGTAATATTCCTAGTAGTATCATGAATACTAGTTGTAGTCGTAGTAGTAGTAGTAGTAGTAGTAGTAGTAGTAGTAGTAGTAGTAGTAGTAGTAGTAGTAGTGACAGTAGTAGTAATAGTAGTAGTGGTAGTAGTAGTAGAAATAACAGTAGTAGTCGTAGTAGTAGTAGTAGTAGTAGCAGTAGTGGTGGTAGCCGCAGCAGTAGCAGTAGCAGCAGTAGCAGTAGTAGTAGCAGTAGTCGTAGTAGTAGTCGTAGTAGTAGTCGTAGTAGTAGTAGTAGTAGTCGTCGTCGTATTAGTAGTAGTAGTAGTAGTTGTTGTAGTAGTAGTCGTCATAGTAGTAGTCGTATTAGTAGTAGTAGTAGTAGTAGTAGTAGTAGTAGTAGTAGTAGTCGTAGTAGTAGTCGTAGTAGTAGTAGTAGTAGTAGTAGTAGTAGTAGTGAGTCGTAGTAGTATAGTGTAATTAGTAATGGTGAAATAATGTAATAGTATGTAGTAGTTAGTAGTAGTGTGTTAGTAGGTCGTAGTCGTCCTCCTCCTCCAGTCTCCCTTCGTCCTCCTCCCCCCCCCTCCCCCTCCTGCCCCTCCTGTCCTACGCCTTCTCCTCCTTCCTCCTCCTCCTCTCCTCTTCCTCCTCACTCCTCCTCCTCTCCTCCTCCTCCTCCTCCTCCCTCTCTACCTCCCCCCCCTTTTCCCTCATCCTCCTCCTCGTCGTCCTCGTCCTCCTCCGCCTCCTCCTCCTCCTCATCATCATCCTCCTCCTCCTCCTCCTTATTCTCCTCCTCCCCCTCCTCCTCCTCCATTCCTTCTCCTTATAGGTAATTTCTCCGCGTCGCACCCCGAGGCCAGTTTTTTGGGCGGGCCTGGCGTTTCGTCCGATACTTCCTCACCCTGTTATGACCCTGAAATTTAAACAGTGACCACAGCTTCACAGACGGAGGGCGGGTGGTTTTCAAAATGTGACTCTCGCCTCAGCGCCGCGCACATTCCCTTTACACATCCGCAAGAGCTTCACGGATTGGGCGCGGGTGTTCAAGACGTGGCTCTCGCATTAGCGCCGCGCACATTCCTTTTTTACAAATATGCAAGAGCTGCACGGATTGAGGGTGGGTGTTTTTCAAAATGTGGTTCTTGCCTCAGCGCCGCGCACAGCCGCATTCAATTTGCAAGAGCTTCACGGATTGAGGGCGGGTGGTGTTCAAAATGTTGTTCTCACCTTAGCGCCGCGCACACTCGCTTGACCAAAACAATTCGAGAGTTTCACCGATTGAGGGCGGGTCGATTTCAAAATGCGGCTCACCGACGGAGGGCGGGCAGTTTTCAAAATGTGGTTTTCGCCTTAGCGCCGCGCACACTCGTTTTACAAATCTGCAAGGGTTTCACGGATTGGGGGCGGGTGGTTTTCAACGTGTGGTTCTCGCCTTAACGTCGCGCACATTCGTTTTTACAAATCTGCAAGAGCTCCACGGATTGAGGGCGGGTGGTTTCCTAAATGTAGCTCTCGCCTTAGCGCCGCGCACATCCGTTCTGAATTTGCAAGAGTTTCACTTGTTGAGGGCGGGTGGTTTTCAACATGCCGTTCTCGCCTTAGCGCCGCGCACATCCGCTTCTAAAAATGCACAAGAGTTTCACCGATTGAGGGCGGGCCGGTTTCAAAATGCTGTTCTCGCCTGAGGGCCGCGTACATCCGCTTCGAAAAAATGCAAGAGCTTCACTGGGTGAGGGCGGTTTATTTTCACAATGTGGTCCCCGCCTTTGCGCCACACACATTCGTTTCTTTTAATAATAAAATTAGCCTGACGAATGACCCAACCATATGCAGGTGTGAGTACCGCAATTGTGATTCCCTTTTCGGTGGTGATCCCTATGAGGCAACGAACCGTGCTAGGGGTGTGCCGAAATGAGTGGCGTGGTAGACGACGCGAGCGAAAACGATTGATCTGAGTACGTAGGGAGACTGAGCGCGGGTGAATCTGAGCGCGATTGCGTCTGACTGTGAACGAATCTGCGTGCGAGCGAGTCTACGTGCACGAATGCGAGTATGCCAATGCATGGTGCAATTGTATATGAATGCGAATAGTTTGTGAGTGACTGCCTCTGAGTACTCGTGACGCTGGGCGTGGCCGCCGCAAGGAGCTTCCCCGGGGCTCCCCGACGGCATCGCCCGCGCGCCGCGACGCCACCGCGAGGATCGCGCCCGCTTCCTCCCCTTCTTTTACTCCCTCTTTGCCCGCGCACTCAAAAGTCCAAAGCTGCGGGCGCAGCGCAGCGCGGAGTCCCAGCGACGCGCGCAGGTCGCCCCGGAGGGGTCCCAGCGACGCGCGCAGGTCGTCCGCTGCACGCAGCAAAAAGAGCTAGCTGGCTGGCTGATAGCGGGCAAGGCTCTTGCCGCTGGGCAGAGCGACGACGGGCGAGCGAGGCGCGGAACTCCGACGGCCTCCGGCGGAGGTGTACTGGGTGAGGGAGACGCAAGCGGACTGCGCCACGGGGACCTTCGGTGGAGCTCCCTATGGGGCCACGAAACGTGTGAGGGATGTGCCGAATGGGTGTGCGGGACGCATGCGGGCACACCCACTGGGACCTTCGGTTGCTCCCTATGGGGCCACGGAACGTGTGAGGGTGTGCCCTGTGTGCGGGCACACCACAGGGCCTCCTCTATGGGGCACGAACACGAAACGTGTGAGGGGTGTGCCGAAATGGGTGTGCGGGACGCATGCGGGCACACCCACTGGGACCTTCGGTGGAGCTCCCTATGGGGCCACGAAACGTGTGAGGGGTGTGCCGAAATGGGTGTGCGGGACGCATGCGGGCACACCCACTGGACCTTCGGTGGGCTACCTATGGGGCCACGAAACGTGTGAGGGTGTGCCGAAATGGTGTGCGGGACGCATGCGGGCACACCACTGGGACCTTCGGTGGAGCTCCCTATGGGGCCACGAAACGTGTGAGGGGTGTGCCGAAATGTGTGTGCGGGACGCATGCGGGCACACCCACTGGGACCTTCGGTGGAGCTCCCTATGGGGCCACGAAACGTGTGAGGGTGTGCCGAAATGGGTGTGCGGGACGCATGCGGGCACACCCATGGGACCATCGTGGAGCTCCCTATGGGCCACGAAACCCACATGGGTGTGCAGAAACTTCGGTGGAGCTCCCTATGGGGCCACGATACGTGCGGGCACACCCACTGAGACCTTCGGTGAGCTCCCTATGGGCAACGAACGTGTGGGGGTGTGCGACATGTGTGTGCGGGACGCATGCGGGCACACTGGGACCTTCGGTGGGAGCCCCCTTATGGGCTCGGACGTCACACGTTGATGCTGTGTGCCGCAAATGGGTTGTGCGGGACGCATGGCGGGCACACCCACTGGGACCTTCGGTGGAGCTCCCTATGGGGCCACGAAACGTGTGAGGGGTGTGCCGAAATGGGTGATGACGATGATGATGGTGGGAGGAGGAGGAGGAGGAGGAGGAGGAGGAGGAGGGGAGGAGGAGAAGAGGAGGAGAGGAGACGCGGGGACCGTTTCTTCAAAACGAGGACCCAACACCACAGGATGGTTGGGGAAAAAGTT